GTGCAAGTCTTATTAGAAGTACATGTTTCTTTTCATACCTCCATGTGCCTTACATTAATGACTTTCATACCTCCATATGCCGTACATTAATGACTATGGTTCATAATATTATAAGAGTTTGTTAGCTTGTGTTTTTAAGTGCAGATTAAGCTTCATTAATCATAGTATTTTTAATTAATAAAGCTTAACTTTTTCTTATAAGAGATTCATACCTTTTACATATTTTTATTATAAAATAACAATTAGGACATCATTTAATTCAACACATCTCACAACAGATTCATTAAGAACTTATTATTTTCAAGTATGAATTCATGACAGGAAAAATTTTAGTTGCAAAATTTAATGACTTAATCAATAGGTGTTAACAAGTGTATTTAACTGATGGGTGTACCATTCATTACCTTTTCATATTATATAATTTTTTAAAAATGTACTTTTTTTTTTTTTTTTTTTTTTTTTTTTTACATTTATCATAATTAATTAAGTTTAACCTAATCCTTGAGGGCACGGCATGGAAAATCCCATAACTTAAGATTACTATACTCTAATGGAAACTACAAATTACTTCGGCAATTATATCGAGTTGAAGTAAATCACAAAAAACCATTGAGAATGCAAATTACCCACACATTCTCCCACTCCAAAACAACACCCTTATTTCTACTATGTTACTGTGAACACTTGTTTCCTTTCCCATTCATTATTACTTTCGTTTCTTTTCTCTCTTTCACGCTTGTGTGGAGCCAATAATTGTAATTTGTTCGTATATGACCTTACATGGTAATGCCACTCCATCGTTTAACCTTATTTAATTGAATAGTTGGTTCCTTCAATGTTTTAAGAACAGACTCGGTGCTTGACCTGTTTTGGACATTAAGTCTGGTTCAATTGATTGAACCAGTTCAATCGATTGGTTCAATCGATCATACAAAAAATGACATTTTAAAATTTTTAAAAAGTAATAAGTAAGATTTAATGTTAAAACATATAATAATTATGTAAATATTAAATCACTAAACTCTATTATTTGTATTATTAACCTTTCAATTTTTTTAATTTATTCATAATTAAAAATTGAATGTAATAATTTCTAATTTTATAAAATTAAATAACAATTTTAATTTAAATCTTTTAACATCAAACAATTTCTATAAAAAATAAAACGAAAAGGAAAGAACAATATCATTAAATCAAATTTCATTTAATATTTAAACACTTAAAATTTTGAATCTTATCAAATCATTATCATTATTATTTATGATTTTATTAAATAAACAATTTAAAATCTTAGAAATAAAAACTTAATTTAATTTAGTAATATGATTCATAATTTGAGTTTAAAGGTATTTACTTTAATTTTGTTATTTTATTTTTAAAATTAACTAATTTATAAATTTTATTTTATCAAAATATTTTTCTAACATGTTCTTTTATATTTAATGTTGCTTTTTAATAATTAATCTTTATAAAAAAATAAAGATTAATTTTAATTTATTAAGAATTTGTTTAACCTATCTCCTAAGAGTATATGTTAAATTTCATTAAATGTAAAATCTTTAATTAATTTGATTAAATTTTTAAATCAAATTCTTATATTTTTACAAATTTTGATTATAAATATTATATTATATTTCAATTTTACATTTTTATTTTATTTTAATT